GAAAGCTTTCGAGTTACGTGAGCAACAGAATGAAGGAAAAATTGAAAGGTTTTTGGAAATCTTTTAATTTCGCCGAGAAATCAAGCTGAACTCTTCAGCGGCTGCAATTCGACGGTTTTCGCCGTCTCCTCGCCGTACTTTTGCAGTTCCCACGCTCGCAACTTTCGCAATGGGATGCAGATGAGACCTGGAAATTGAGTTTTTGTATTAAAATGCAAATTTTCGTATTTGTTTCCCATCAAAACCCAGTCAATTCGCATTTTGTGTAATTTTTATCGCTTCGGAGAAACGAACGATATTTTAATTTCTTGACACAACGACGTTTTTACAGTATTATTGCGCGTTCCATAGTTTATAAATCTTGTATAATATTTGAAATCTTTATATTTCTCACCCGATAAAGTCATCAAGACGCCCATCACGTAGAACGATATGTCGAAATTGCCCGACCAGTCCTTGATGGACGCTGAAAATCGGAGGATTTAGAGATTTGTTTTTAAAATAAGGTTAGGGTTTATATTTCAAATGCGATGCTCCTCAAACCCACCGGCAATCGGTGATCCGACGAGTGCGCCGACTCCCATAAATAGCAAAAGTGTGCCGAAAGCCGATGACAACTTCTCCAAACCCCACAAATCAACGCAAATGACGGAACGGAGTGCCGCGAAGCACGCTGAAATTTCGATTTAAGAATTCTATCAAATTTTGAGTAAAATTTTTTTCACTTTATTTTCCCAGTGCTAGAAAGGTGGAGAGGCCTCAAAGGAGAAAGCTTTGTCAGAAAAATACTCAATGGCGGTTATCGGACTGTTAATAACTCCAAAATGATGACTTGAAAAAGGAAAATGAACTAAAGATAGACTGAGGATTTGATAAAATTCGGATTTGGATTTGAGTTTAAATTTGGATTTAAATTTAATCTGAATTTGGTTGGATTTAAATTTAGTTTAAATTTGGATTTGGATTTGGATTTAAATTCGAATCTGGATTCCCCCTTGAATCTGATTTTGATCGTTGAAGTCTAGCTTTGCCTTCAATTCTTGTTCCTTTCCTCTTTCCCCGCCACCTTTTCAGCCCCTTTCCCGCCGCCTCTCTCCCATTCACGGCGATGTCCCAGTGGTTAAGGAGTTTGACTCGAAATCAAATGGGCTCTGCCCGCGTGAGTTCGAATCCTGCTCGCTGCGAAATCGTTTTGCTTTTTCGCAAAACACCCCTGGAAACCTCACGACTAAATTTGGGGAGGTCAGTTTTAAATTCAAAATGGTTATGGTAAATCATTTTTCTTGCCTACAAGACTCAAAATTCTTTTTACACGATTTTACCCGATTTTTTGGGTTTTCAATCGCTCACCAGCACCAAAGCGAACAAGGAAACCGAAAGCGATGAAATGCCAATACTGGGTGAAAGAGTGGGACGACCATTGTCGCCAAACCGGCTGGGAATCAAGCCCGCATTCGACACCCACAACAGATCAACCTTCGGGCTGTCCGGGAATTTTCCTGGAAAGAGTTTTGCTCGAAAATGTGACCTCAAAATGTTCGAAATCTCCAATCTGATGCGTTTTTCTGGAATCTGGAACACAAAGCAGAAGTTGCTGCAGAGGTACCCAATCACTTTCGTACTGTGGATCAAATGCTTGCTTTCGGACCCTAAGAGGCTTGTAAACTAGGCTAACAATCTTGGCCAATCTTGGCCAATGGGGAGGCCTACCTGCGAGCTTGAGCAAGAACTTGAAGGTCTGGTCTCCGTTCCAGGTCTACAGTAAAACTAGGTCTGACTCTAGTGGAACAACGTTTTGCTATGTTTTCCCACGGTACAAAGAATTCCCACGGAGCCGCAAAATTCCGCCAAAATGCTAGTCAGAAAGATTTCTTTCTGAAAAATCTCTGCAAATTCGCAGGAAAAGAACGTTCCGCGGGAACTCTGTCAACTCTGTCAGGAAAAAAGAACACTGTCAGAGAGTTTCCGGCGGAAATTTGTTACACTTTCCGGCTCAGGCGATGCCAAGGAACTTGAACTGACCTTACCCTGCTTTTGAGGCTTGCCTCTGAACCCGCTCTGAATTTACATTTAGCGGGCTTTGAAAAATCAAAATGGCGATTATGCGGATTTCATGTTAATTTTTTCGAATTTTTGATTAGCCGAGTTTCAAAAAATTTTCAAACACATTTGGGTCAATTCTTCCCTCGACAAAATCGAGCTCTTTCAATTAATTTTGCGTAATTTCAAAATCAAAATAGCAATTATGGATGTCATGTTAATTTTGTAGAGTTTCAGATTGGCTATAAAAGGCGATATCCGACTGCTTTCCCTAGGGCAACCCACGCAAAGTATCCGAAAAACGATGTTGATGACGCCGAGCAATTGCAGAGAAAAGATTTCCAGAAATCGGTGAGACCCTCGATTCTGAAAAAGTGCTGTAGTGCTGAGGCAAGTGCTGTAAAATTTTTATTGCTTAAAACGAACTTCTCCAGATGTCTTCCCAAATACGAAAAGGGGTTTATAGAAACGAGTGAGCGTGAGGAAACCGGAAATAGCGAGGATCACGAAAGTAGGCAATTTGAAGACTGACGGTCGACCAGACCGCCGAAAGCCTACAAGATTCTGGGATTGAAATTTGATGAGGCCATAGTTAGGGCTGGGAAAATCCTGGACTTGAAAAATTTGCCCAATTCTGTTGCTCCAACCAAGGTCAGGCCATGGTCCAACCCCTAGAAAGCATTCGTTACTTTCCGAATCGATTTGGACGCGCTTGCGGCTGATCGGGAGTAGTCAGACAAAAGGACGCTCTCTACAACTGTTTACTTCGCCTTCTGACCCGCTGCCCGTACTTTTGTGACGTGGAATTGGTGAATTTACAAAAAAACCAGAAGAGATTTTATTTGATAAACCAAGAATGTCATCCAGGATTGACGAACATTAAGAAATTCTTAAGTAAATGCATTCAAAGATGAAAATTTGAGGAACAGGAAACAAAGCCCTTCATGAATTTCGAAAATCTGATTTTTTTTATTTTAATGACATCCAGGATTGACGAAATTAAATTCTGAGATTAATGCATTCAAAGGTGAAAGATTCTGTGGACCAAGAAATCCAAAAAAGTGCCTTCATGAATTTGTCGAAAATCTCATTTGTTTTGTCAAAATATTTTGCAAAGATATCCAGAACGTCCAGATCATTGCATAATTTTTTCGGAATCGCCAAATCATCCTCACTTTTACAAGGGTTAAGAGCTCCAAGAGGGTTAAAAGCTCCAAGACCTGAATTCTTGGGGATCATTGGGCTAAGTTTGGAGTTGTCATTATACTTTAGCTTAGTTTAGTTCGAAACAACACTCATACTTGTCCAGGGATGCCACGGCTAGTGCAAGCCAGGCCAGAGCCAGCTTCTGTTGGACTCAAAAGCGTTTTGTCGACGGCAGTAAAGCTCAGGCCCAGGCTTAGTCTTAGGCTTAGGTTTTAGGCGCAGGCTTAGGCGCAGGCCCAGGCTCAGGCTCAGACCTAGGCCTAGGCTCAGGCTTAGGTGCTAGCTTCTGCTCTTTCTGGTCCTGCCTGCCTTGGTCTGGGCTAGTAAAACTGAATTTGGAAGATCGCTAACAGGCGAGGCTTGTAGTAAGTCAGGCAGGGCCGTACTTCTGTTAATTTTTGCTTGTTTTCAGAATGAAAGCTAACCCGTCCGATCGCGCACAGCCATCTCCTTGGGCCGGATAGGGGAAGCGGTTCAGCCGCAGCTGGCAGCCCGACTGTCGAGATGCGATGCGACGATTGGTGCACCTGAACAATCCACTTTAATAATTCATTTTGCGATCATTTCGAAATTCAATCTAGACTCTAACGCTAGAAAATTCAGCTTCGAACCACCCACATTGTTCAGTAAAGGAGCGGAATTGCTTTCGAGTGCACCGTATTTTGTGTCCTAAACTAAATGATGCACAAAATGAAGAAATTTCAAGATCTAATCAGTTTTTCCTAAGATCTGGCAGTCACGTAAAAGTTCTATCGATAGATATCGAAAGATTTTCCATTTCTCGAGAATTTTCCCCACCTCATCCGGCTTGATGAATGCCTCGCGGTCGGCTGCCGAGGCTGAAATTGGAGATATGCGAATTTTTTGAGCTGTAATGGCGATTCTGGCTGGCATGCTATTATTTGGTTCCAAAAGGTTAGAGGGTTACTGTATTAAAAATTTTCAACTTGGGAACTCAGGGTTTTTAAGCGATTTCACAACTACGACACTGTACGCAGAAGAAACTTACGATCGGATTTGTGCGATGAGTCGTCTAAATGCTGGGCTTTGTCAAAAGGGTACGGTATTGGGGTACTTTTAGCGATAATAGTACTGTGAATACGGTGAAAAGGGTACTGTAGTGCTCTGTTTTCTAAAGCAAGCCTTTTTTCGGCTACCATAACCCAAACTAGTCAGTAAAACAGCTTTTTTGCCCGTCCTGGAATGCACTTTTGCTATTCGCAAGTTTAGAAATTCATTTGCCACATTTTGGTCTGTTTCCTAAAAAGTGCCCTTTTCTAAAAACTACCGTAATCCTTCATCTATTTTTTCATTCTTTTTTAAAATTTATTTTTCCAGAGCCTTCTGTGCATTCCAGAATTGGATTTGGAAAGAAAATAAAACCGATTCGGCCACAGTGATGCCTAGTTTGCGCCGTGTGCCTGTTTTGGCCAGAGCCAGAGACAGCCCAGGCCAGAGCTACTATGATCCACTCCTGCTAGAACTCACCCGATCTTGTCCTCGTTCTCTGATGAAGACTCGATGTGGACCCGGGATAGAAAACGTCTTGTTTCGAGAGTGGTCGATTCAAATCAGTAACTGATTCCCGGGTGACCTCCGTCGCCAGATCGTGCTGAGACCAGACGTCTTTTTGCTGGAAAATTAACATTTAACGGATTTTGAGAAATCAAGATGGTGATTTTGGATGTCATGCTAGCTTTTTAGAATTTTAGATTGGCTAAGTTTCAAAGAAATTTTCAAGCACACTTGGGGCAATTCTTCACCGACAAAATCGAGCTCTTCAATTAATTTTGTGCAATTTTAAAATCAAAAATAGCAATTATGAATGTCATGTTAATTTTCTAGAGTTTCAGATTGGCGAAATGTTGATGGAAAATTCTCGGACCTGGGTCTTCTCAGCGTTCAGCTCAAGCGTCGACAAAAAGGGTCGATTAGGATCGAAATCGTTCCGCTCGCCGCGCAAACCCTCGGCTGGCTCCTGTAATTTGCATTTTACCCTGAATTTATATGCAAATTGGTAGGCAAATCGGGCAAATCGTTTCCAAACCAACCTTCTCTTTTTCGTACTCTTCGGCAAGCTTGGTCACCTGAAAATTGAGTTTGAGCATAATTTCAAGTGAAAATCCTTTCTGGGAAATTATTTTCTGCGATTTTTGGATATTATGGAACGCAGGAAAGCTCCTGATTGTAAAAGCATTAAAATTTTTAAGAAAAAATTTTGATAAAAAATTTGATAAAAATTTCAGTGAACTAGATCGGTGCGTTTGCGCTTAAGCCCAAAACTACCGTACCTCTTCCACTTGTTTCTCGCTTGCTTGCACGGATTTGGAGAATAAACCGGCCAGAACGGAGATCAGCGACGAGAAGGCGATGAAAACGATGAAGTAGCGCCACTGGTTGTTGACAAGGGTCATCACGATTGGGTTCAGCTGGAAATTTCTAGGATTCGGTTGGCAAGGAGTGATTTTACAAAACCAGAGCTTGAGCTGGAACGCACTAAGCCTAAAAACGGTAACTTTTTCAGAAAAGGAGAGCATTTAGTCGATGACGTCATTTTTCGGGACTGACTACTTTTATCGACTCCAGAACCAGTTTGAAATTTAGCCATTTAGCCAATGGCCGTTCTGGAAAGCACATGAAATTTTTAGTGACAAGTTTTCAGAATATCTGCCATTCGATGAGATCATTTCCCAATTTTAAAACTGGGCACTTTTATCGACTCCAGAACCAGTTTTGCTTAAAGTCTTTCAACCAATGCTCATTCTGGAGGTCACATAAGCTTTTTCATCAATAATTTTTTCCACTCACCAAGGCGAATAGCGAGGTGCCAATGCCCGACCCGCAAACGGCCAACCCGACCGCTAAGGGACGCTTATTGTCGAAGTATTGCGGGACGATGACGATCGCCGGCAGATAGACCAAACCGAAGCCGACGCCTAGAAAGACATGGGTAAATTTGACATGGGAATCGTGAAAGTGGGCAACGGAAACAAAACTCCACCTCAATCACTCCAAAAGTGATGTACAAGAGAAAGATCTGCGGTACAAGAGTTGAGGCCATGAAACCAAAACAGGAGATGAAAGCGCCGAGGATTGTGACCGCACGACAACCATAATTGTTGGCAAGGGCTGAGGCGAGGGGGCCTGAAATTAAGAGGAGTTTTTGGTTTTTTGATTATGAGGATTCTGAACTCATTTTGACGAATTTGCTGCGCTTCTTTCCCTAAATTTTGCATTATCGGCTGTTGGATGTCACTATTGCGTTTAATTTTCGCTGCCCTGTGCATTTCTTTTCTGGGGTACTAGTCGGAGTCGGTTTGAGTCCGACTCATTTTCTCGGCTATCCGGCATCCTTTTCGCTTAATTTCAATTTTAATATTCAATCTGGATGTCATCTTGACTTTGTGAGGTAAAGTTGCACTGTACAGATATCAGAGGGAAATACCTGTCCAGAGCCGGGCCAGCGCTATGCTAGGAAGGCCAGCGCTATGCTAGGTCCCCAGGGAAGTCATGAGCCTGCCCTGACCTGGCCTCAGACCAGGCAGGAAAGCCGGGAACTCAGATCAGCGCCTGGCTTCTAGTTTTGCGTAAAGCCAGGACCAGAGCTGGGACCTAACTTTCTGATTGTGGGAAATTTGATACGCGCTCCGACCCCTTTGCCAATGGCAACTCAACTTTGAACTTATATATCTTGGGGTTGGACTGTCCAATTGAAATAGCTTTATGTAGGCTCATCTATTGTCTTCTATTGTTAGCTTGGAAAAAGGGGCGAGGCCAGAAAGACCTTTTATACGCGCCCGTCTCTTTGGGTATTACGCAAGGGCTTTGAGCTCAAATCTTAGTGTTGAACTGTCCAATTGAAATAGTTTTTGTACCTATAATCGATATAAAAGTCTTTGCGCATCTATTGGGGATATCAAGAATATTTAAGTTGTACAGCTCAACACCAAGAAATTTGAGTTCAAAGTTATCAGGTTGGCAACTAAATAATGGCCCTTTTCAGTAAAAAAACAAAAAATCCATTAACAAGATGAACAAATATCAACATCAATCCAAAAGGTATTCTCCGTCATTCTTTATTACTTCTTTCCACTGTGCCAGAGCAACTGGATTCCTCTCTTGAAAATTCCTTCCTTGGTTGATCCTCAAAGAACTTCTGCACTGAAATTCCGGACTTCGTCAAGGTCATTGAATTTTTTTCGGGTAGAAAGTGTTGCATCGATCGAAAAAGATGGTAATCACTAGGCCCCATATCCGGGCTGTATGGCGCATGAGGTAAACATTCCAGCCCAACTCCTCGATTTTCTCCATTGTAAGTTTTGCAGTGTGTGGTTTTGCGTTATCATGGAGAAAATGAATTGAAGAGGGTTCGAGTCCTTGAGAGCGAATTGCTTGATCTACACGATGTAGTTGAGACGAATAGAGTTCTGAATTCAACCGTTTGCCGGCTTTTTGAGAACCTCGAAATGCACCAACCCACGAGAACTCCACCACACACAGAGGAGAGTTTTCTTTGAGTGAATATCCGGCTTCGGAGTTGGTTTTGGGTCTTCGTTTGTGCTAAGCCACTGTCGTTTTCGCGTTCGATTATCATAAAAGATCCATTTTTCATCAGAAGTGACAATGGAATCCAAGAAGCTTCCCTTTTTCGCAAGTTTTAGTAGTATTCCAGCTGTGATAACATATTTTCTTTGCTCAATTCATGCGGAATCCACTTTCCACTGCGGTTACTTTTCCCCAATGCATGAAGTCGCTTTTCGATTGCAGTATGCGAAAAGCCCAATCGATCCCCTAGCTCGCGTGATGTTTGACTTGAATCCTCCTTTAAAGCTGCTTCCAAAATATCGTTCTGCAGAAGTTCTTGGCGTTCTTGGCGAGGTTCATCTTCAAGACTTTCATCCCCTTCCTTGAACCGTCGATACCATCTCTTACATTGTGTTTCGGAAAGAGCTTCATCACCAAAAACTCGCAATAAATCTCTGTGGGATTCGGCAGCTGTTTTGACTTGTTTGTAGTCGTACCAGAGACAGATACGCATTCGATATTTGAGATCTTCCATTTCTAAACAAAATTATTTGAAAAGTATCAAATCAAGGAAAGTAAAAAACGTATAATAATGCACCAGAAAGTCAGTAATATTCAATTAACAACAAGCGAGGGGTAGATTAAACGCAAAGATTAAAAAGATTTTATCAAAAAAGGGCGAGGGCCATTATTTAGTTGCTAACCTAATAGATTGCAAATGGCAAAAGGGGCGGGGCGGGTATAAAAGGAACGCCAGCTCCTTTTGCCATTGGCAATGAACAAAATTGGAAGAAAATGTGTATTTTCAAAGATTTTACTTTGCTGACACTCCTCAAAGAGAGTTAAATCAAGATTGAAAAAGGGATTAAACAAAAAAAATGGCGGATAGGCAAGCGCTTGAGTTCGATTGACCTGGCATTGGACAATGGACAAGCCGGCTCGCAAAAGCACCGCAAATCTCTCCGGATTTATCAACTAACTGACGGAAAGGTGGCAAAAACATTGAGAGACCGGGAATTTCTCTTTCAAGACTTCAACTAGCCGCCAGCATTTTTTAAAGAAAATTTTCAATGTCAGCGTCGGAGTTGGTGCAGTGAAAGTTGGATTGGAGTTAAGGAAATTGATTCTGATTAAATAAATGATTAATCTGGAACTCACGCAATAGCCAGAGCTAGCTACTTGAGTAGGAAAGTGAAATTTCCAAAAAGAGAAGACAGGGCTAGGATCTGGCTTGGGCTAGGATCTGGGATCTAACCTTTCTGTGGCACTTGTTAGTATGATTGATCTGGTCTGAACAGACTAACAGGTTCACTTGAAACAGCGGCATCTTTAGAACAAAAGTCTACACTTTAGGAAGTGCTAGTAATCGGCAGTAAAACTCTCAAAATTGCCGATTTCTCGACAGTAAATTCTCAAAATTTGCATTTAAAAGCCATTTACGACTCACCGACGAGCAAATAGCTGCCCGAGAGCAGTGAGGTGGTGAAAGCGGCCGCCGTGTCCGAGCTCGCAAAGTCCGCCTTCCACAGCTTCAGACACGACTCGCCGACGGTGAAGATGATCCCTGGAAATGCCGTTTATTTTTAAGATACGGGGAAATCGAGTCGTTTTTTTGGAATCCTGGATGGCACTGCACAATCACTCACCGTCAACGATCATGTTTGCGATAAATGACGCCGCCACCACGACCCATCCATAACCACCTAAACGAAATTTTTTGAAATTTCCATTTTCTATCGTTTAAACCCAGTTTTGCTCGTGCTGTGCTCCAGCTTGAGCAATGGCATCGAAATTTTTGTAATAATGTCAGACTGTCAGACTGTTAGACTGGCCCCGAAAATGGCTCAGAAAATTGATGGGGAAAACAAGAAGTAGCTGGTGTTTTTGCGTGTTATTTGTGAGAAATGGATAAATAAATATGGGGATTAGTAGCTTTAAGTAGTGTAGAGCGGGAAGGAGTAAATAAAGAAGAGACTGGGCAGGCAGGTCAGGCCGAGGAGAGGTCGAGGTCAGAGCTAGACCCAGGCCTGCTGGACCGATAAAATTGAAAACTACTAAAGTAAGTATGCAAATTGGCTAGTGTGCGCTCCAGATGGAGAAATGGCTTCAAAATTTTTGTCCTAGCTCAATTGGGACTACAAAATTTCAAAGGAAAGCGATTATTTCGAAAAAGCTACCCATTCAGAAGGCTAAAAAACTTACAACTTATAGGCAAATTGGCTAGTGTGAATAAAGAGAAAAATTTTTTCTTTCCCCAACTCTATCGACGTTTAAAAAAAAAAAAAAAAAAAAAGTTAACCAAAAAAATAAACCCAACCAAAAACCCCAAAACCTAGAACTTGCAAGCTAAATGGCTAGTGTGCGCTCCAGATGGAGAAATGGTTTCAAAATTTTTGGACTAGCTCAATCGGGACTACGAAATTTCAGAGGAAAGCGATTATTTCGAAAAGTTACCCATTCAGAAGGCTAAAAACTTACAACTTATAAGCTAAATGGCAGTTTTAAAGCTCCAGTTAGATAAATGACAATTTTACATATAAATCGAAATTCACGGACCATCCGGCGGCTTCACGATCCCAGCCGCTTCTAGCTTCGTCTCTGTCTCGTCGACTTTCGATGCCCGCCGCTCGCGCTCGTCTTTTGGCTCATTGTCAGGCATCTGAAATGATAAAATACGAGAGTGACATCCAGTTTAGAAAAGGAGAAAAAAATCGAGCGACAAAGTTGACGGTAAGGCCTGAAAAAGAACTTGATCAGTTTGGAAAACGACTTAAGTAAAAAAAACTGTTGGAGTGGAAATTTACCCTGCAAAGTCAAGAATGACATCCAGATTGTATATTAAAATTGGAATTAAGCGAAAAGGATGCCGGATAGCCGAGGAAATTAGTTGGACTCAAACCGACTCCGACTAGTACCCCAGAAAAGAACTGCCAGGGCACAGCGAGACTGTAAAAGCAGAAATGACATCCAGCTTAGCCGATAAAGGCAAAATTTAGGGAGGAAGCTCAGTAAAATTGTCAAAATAAGTTCAGAATTTGATTTGCTCAAAAAATTTGAGGAAAATGAAGAAATGGATCATAAAAATTACAAAATTTCGAATTTTATTTCTATTTTTTTCAGAAAACGCAACATTTTGGTTGAAAAACTGCAAGAAAAACGCAAAAAATTAAGCCGCTTTCATTTTTTTTCTTTGAAATCCCTGGCTTTTCGAATTCAATTTTGGGCGCGTTCCGAGTTTTTTCTTACGGAAAAAGAATTGAATCGTTTTAGGCTGTAAGAGAATGAAAACAAAGCCAAAAGAGAAATATTTTGCCAATCCTGGGAGGCACTCAGTGCTTTGGAAGCGATTGGGACTGCAAAAGTTAAAAGTTCAGAAATGGATATTTGGGTTGACGCACTACAAGTACAAAATGTGATATCAGTAGTTTAAAGTTAAAGTTTATCAGTGGTTCGTGAGTTTCGATTAATATTTAAAATTGTCGAAGTCATTTATCAGTCCGATCTAGAGTGTGCTCCTTGTTGACAGACAATTTGTCAGACAAATTTTCATTGACAACTTTTTTGTCAGACAATCGATCCGACAAACTTCCGACAACGCGTTTTCTAAAAGGTGCGCTTTTTAAGCAAAGCCATAAAGGTCGCGCGAAAAAAAATTTTGCAAACTTTTCTTAAAATGTAGTAATGGATAGTTTTCTTAAAGGATTTAGGTTTTTTAGGGCGTGCAATTTTTTTTGGAATGGTTCTAGTGCAAATGTAGACAATAGGCCTGGTAAATTCGTAAATAATATCATTTTTTAATAGTGTTTCTTAACTTTTCCCGTTTTAAATGTTTTCTTTAATTTTACATAGCATTTAAAAAATTTTAAGTTTTAGCGAAAGAGTAATAGAGTTAAGGGGAGAGTAATAGAGTTAAGGAAAGAGTAATAGAGTTCAGGAAAGAGTAATAGAGTTCAGGAAAGAGTAATAGAGTTCAGGAAAGAGTAATAGAGTTAAGGAAAGAGTAATAGAGTTAAGGAAAGAGTAATAGAGTTAAGGAAAGAGTAATAGAGTTCAGGGAAGAGTAATAGAGTTAAGGGGAGAGTAATAGAGTTAAGGAAAGAGTAATAGAGTTCAGGAAAGAGTAATAGAGTTAAGGAAAGAGTAATAGAGTTCAGGAAAGAGTAATAGAGTTAAGGGGAGAGTAATAGAGTTAAGGAAAGAGTAATAGAGTTCAGGAAAGAGTAATAGAGTTAAGGAAAGAGTAATAGAGTTCAGGAAAGAGTAATAGAGTTAAGGAAAGAGTAATAGAGTTCAGGAAAGAGTAATAGAGTTAAGGAAAGAGTAATAGAGTTAAGGAAAGAGTAATAGAGTTCAGGAAAGAGTAATAGAGTTAAGGAAAGAGTAATAGAGTTCAGGAAAGAGTAATAGAGTTCAGGAAAGAGTAATAGAGTTAAGGAAAGAGTAATAGAGTTCAGGAAAGAGTAATAGAGTTAAGGAAAGAGTAATAGAGTTCAGGAAAGAGTAATAGAGTTCAGGAAAGAGTAATAGAAAAAAAGAGCGCAAGATTTTAATGTACATTTGTATTTTGAAAAATTTGCTGATGCAAAGCATAGGGTTACGGTAGCTTATCCTTGGCGCGCGCTTTTTAGAAAACGCGTTGTCTGCAAGGAACACACTCTAGTCCGATCACATCACATCCAATCACTCCCAATAACAACCTCAGCCGTTTTGCCGGGGCTTTCGATCAAAGATTTGTCTCCATTTTTAAACTTGTCAAATCATCGATCACATGTAGTCTTGAAGAGGGAATCATGACCGACAAAAGAAGTAGTTACTTTTGTTATGTGGCCTGGAGCTAGACTTGAAGATGATCACTTATCGACCTTAGCATAAGATGCTGAATATGCCGATTTGGCAAATTTGCACCGATCGACAAAAGAAGTTAGTAAAGAGATAAGGAAGCAAAAGTACGGTGAGGAGACGGCGAAAACCGGCGAATTGCAGCCGCTGAAGGGTTGAGCTTGATTTCTCGTCGAAATTTCCAGAAGCTAGAAGCAGTTCATAAAGAGATAAGGATAAGGAATAAAGATAAGGGATAAGGAAGCATGCTTAAAGAGATAAGGAAGCATGCTCAATCAATGAAAGTGTTTTGAAATATTAGGTTGATGCAAAAGTCTTTTTCATTTTTTTCGTACTTCTTTTGAAAAATAACAAAGTCATCAATTAACCTATGGTTTGCTCTAAATGAAAAGTGTTTATTGTTGAATTTCCCATCTTTTTAAGTCAATTTGGGTTCACTTTCAAGCAAATTCGAGAGTGAAAACGGGGTTTTTCATAAAAATCTATAAAAACCTCTATAAAGAAATTGGCTGAATCAATTTCTCTGAAAATCTGAAAAAATATCCAACTTTTTGTGCTCTATCTTTTATTTATTAACATCAAGATTGGTTTCCTTAGCTAAAGCGTCTAAAATGCATCATCGAGCCGTCGCCTTTTTGACTACCCGACTTCAGGCTCGCAAAAAAATCTAGACATAAGACATTTCAAACTCGTTTTAATGTCATTTTGCAGAAAAATAATTGGCCTTTCGAATGCAATAAACCGTTGTTCAATTGGTGCATTTGTTACTTTTTAACGGAAGTACGAAAAAAATGAAAAAGACTTTTGCATCAACCTAATAGAAGAAGTTTGTTGTCTCTTTTAATAGTAAACACTGAGGGCCCACTAAAACTTTAAGACAAAATGTCCTTTCTTTGACGTGACCCACTACTTCTTGGCCAACCGAATATTTGGTTTTTCTCAATTTCTAAAATACTATTCGGGAAATTTCTTCTTTTTTTTCCGAGATTTTTCTTACGGAAAAAGAATTGAATCGTTTTAGGCAGTAAGAGAATGAAAACAAAGCCAAAGGAGAAATATTTTGCCAATCCTGGGAGGCATTCTGTGCTTTGGAAGCGATTCAGACTGCAAAAGTGAAAAGTTTAGAAACGTAATTTGGGTTGACGGAGACGAAGTCCAAAAAATGACCATCAGACAAGATTTTTAAGCGAAAACAATTTTTTTGGCGATCCTGGAAGGCAGTCGTCACTTTCCGAATCGATTTGGACGTGCTTGCCGCTTATCGGAAGTGGTCAGTCAAAAGGGAGGCTTTTTACAACGGTTTATTTCACCCTCTCCCCCGCTGCCCGTACTTTGTGATGAATTTGCAAAAAACCAGCATAGATTTTATTTGATAAACCAAGAATGACATCCAGGATTAACGAAAATTAAGAAATTCTTGAGGTAAATGCATTCAAAGATGAAAGATTCCGAGGAACAAGAAATCCAAAAAGTGCCTTCATGAATTTGTCGAAAATCTCATTTGTTTTGTCAAAATATTCTGCACTGACATCCAGAATTAACAAAAATTAACAAATTCTTGAAATTAGTGCATTCAAATGTGAAAGATTCCCAGGGTCAGGAAATCCAAAAAGTGCCTTCATGAATTTGTCGAAAATCTCATTTGTTTTATCAAAATATTTTGCAATGACATCCAGGACGCCCGAATAATTGCCCAATTTTTTCGGAATCGCAAAATATCCGCCTGAAAGCGGGGGCAAACAAATTTCTGGAGTGGTTCCGGGAGATTGGACCGTTTCGAGGCCGCCATTTTTGTTGCAGTAGGCAAATGATTGCATAAAATGGAAAAATGAAAAGATTTTCGGTTTAGCTGAGTCTTTTTAAGCTGTTGAGGCAATAAAATATAGGAAATTTGGATTGAAATTTGAACTTGAGAGCAACTCGAGCATTGGAGTTGCTCAAGTCATCAAATCCGACCACGCAACAGCTTCAACAAGTCATGTGCGTTCCAGAACAAAGAATTTTCAACAATTTGTAAATGTTTGTCCAGAGAAATCGTCGGGAATTGACGCAAAGTCGGAAAAAGAAAAAAAAATTGGCGTTGACCGATCACTGAGCTTTCCCAAAGTGAGAAGCCGAAAAACGAAGAAAAATCCGTTTGGCTTTCGGCTTTTTACAGGGCACGTGGTGTTCAGAAAGCAAAAAAAATGGAAAAAAAGTTGCAAAAATATTTTGACTGATTGATTAGACACGAATTGGCAATGATTGGTGAGTGCAATTCCGGAAATTGCAAAGAAATTCTGCGATCCTGGCACGCACGGAGATGGATTAGATCAGTCAGATTGAACAGCCGGCCGTTGTTTCGAAAAATTCTTTTCTTTGGGATGGGGAAATTTGACAACGACCAAATAAAGAAAGAAAGAAAAAAAAATTTTCGCATCCGGATCCGAACCGGCTCGAGATCGTCGGCCCTGGATTAAGAGCCGCTACACTTGCCACTGAGCCACTTGCTCTCCCTTAACCAGCGGACGAACGAGCCTTTATACCCCCGAGGTGCGATTTTTTGACCCTCTCCGTCTTCCGGAATTCGAGGTCGCGGTTTTGAACGGGAGCGGCTCCCTCTGTCCTCTCTCCGTGCCTTCCCATTTCCAAAAGGGAAATCCCTACACCCGGGCGGTGTACCAGACGACGAGCGATTACGCGGCCGCACAGAGAACACCATTGGGGAGCCTTGCACCACACAAGGAACACGACGAAAACTGACTCAAATGCTCTCAAATCGATTTCCTTTTTTTCCTAAATCCAATCCTGGAGCGCACAACGGGTTTTGAGTCAATCAGA